ATTTTTGTTAATTATATGATTAAATTTTATTACATAAATTAACTATGTATTTACTAAAAAAATTATGTATATGAATTAATAGATTTATAAAAAATTATATATATATTTAAAAAAATAGTATTTTTTATTTTTTAAAAAAATAAAAGGAGATAAGTGACATTTTTTATACAAGAAACGCCACTTATCTCTTTTTATTTTTTAAAAAATTGAGCAAAGAGAGGTGATGTTTCCTGTAAAAAAACACCACCTTTCTTTTTTTTATTTTTTAAAAAGTAAGTAGAGAGGTGGCTTTTCCTGCAAAAAACGTCACCTCTTTTTTTTTTTAAAGTAAGTAAAGAGGTGTTATTTTTTTTTTTGAAAAATGCCACTATTATTGTTAGCTTCTTGTGACGTTTAATTAATTAATAAAATATTATCTAAAATTTAAGATAATATTAAATTTTATAATGTTTTATAAATATTATAAAATTAAAATTTTAAATGTCATTAAAAATTTATTTTTATAATAGTGTACGTCATATGATTTTGAGCTAGAATTAGGGCTGTGCAAAAGTCTCGTGGTTTCGTTCGGTCCGATTCGACCTATGAAAATTCAGTCCTGTCCAATCCTATAAAATGCTAGTCCTATAGGACCAAAAAAACCAAAAAGACAGGACTGATTTTTCGGTAAGACCAGACTAGAGACCAAGCATCTGGACTAAGTGGTCCAATTTGGTCATATATAATTATTTTAATATAATTAAAATTAATTTATAAATTATTAATTAATAAGCCTTAGAAAAAAAAGTCTTAATCTTGCTTTGCACTTTGCACTTTGATCGAAAAAAAAACCTCAACACTGTTACTCAACAGCACTTAGCGTCTCAGCCACTCACTCAACTTTGCTCTCATTCTTAATTTTTCAGTGCGCCAAAGCCCTAGCCCTTGCCTTGCACTTTGCACTCAGATTTTGATTTGTTCGAACTTTGAAGGAACATGTCTGTGGCTGATTTTTATTACTTCTGTTCTTGCTGATTTTTTTTCTCTGATCTATTTTTGGTCTTTCCTTTGATTTTTTATTGAAGTTATGTATTTAAATCATTTGAAGTTTGGACTGTAACTAAAATATTATTTTCTTGGTGTTAGAAATTATTATGAATTTATTATGATTATAAGTGTTTTTATTATCTTAATTGAATTTGTTAAGTTGAAATAGATTATTGGTCATCATAGAGAAAAAAAAGAAAAAAAAAAGGCCAAGTGAGTATTGGACTAACAGGAGTCTTCCAGTCTTATCCCAAATCTTCAGATTTTCACAGGACTAGACCGAACTATGGGTTACCTAACCCAGTCCTTTTTATAAAAAGAATCAGGACTTCGGTTAGGTTAAAGTTCAGTTTCATTCAGTTTTTTATGCAGCCCTAATTAGAATGGTCCTGGGAAACATATTATCTTTTTGTATGGAGACCTGTGGGTCCAATTTTGTTGTCACGTCACCATCACTAGTAGATTTTAACGACCAGAATAATGAATGAATTTCTAGGTGTTAATTGAGAATTCTCTTATTGATTTTATAGTAGTTATTCCGTCCCTCGTATGTCAATTATTAATTGTTGTATGCATGATGTCCGGCCCCAAATTGACATGATGAGACTTGAAAAGAACATCTTGTAGACTTTTACTTCCCTTTACACTCCATACTTAAGCTTGTTTTACGTACTATAGCTTCTCATTGTAACTTAAGGCATCAACAGCAATCTTTAATGAAGACGAGAAAAAAATAATAAACCACATTCATAAAAAAAATAGATAACTTAATTTATAGAGTTAGAAATTAAGATTTATGAAATTAATTCTTGAAAAATGTGATAATTTTTATATTTATAGTATATATTAATAAGTTTCATTATACTTACAATAAAACAAAGTAATTTAGTTCATATTTGTACTGTTTTTTTAATATATTCTGTTTTATTTATTTTTAATAATCAAATAGGACCAAAGTGTTTGAGTAAAGAAAATTTTGACTGAAATATAATGTGAAGTAATGCAAATATTAATGTTCTTTTTTTTCCCCCAACTCTTAATCTGTCCTGTATTACAAAGACCAACATAACCTAGATTAACTGTCAAGTAGAGAACCATTTCCAAACTGCTTTCCCATCATTCACTATCATCATCACATTCTTTTTCATCAAATTAAATAAAAGTTTTCTATGTATCATGTATAGGAAATACGTACAATGCAAATAAGTCATGTTATTTCAAAGTGTAATTTATTACTCCATCTATTTTAAAATATAGTCCTTTTAATGTAATAGCACATAAGTTAAGGAATACACTTGATACATAAAAATATTAATTATAAAATTGTAAAATATTTGTTGTGATGATATATAGATAGTTAGCAAAGTCCTCGCATCTATAATGGGATTTGAACACATGAATTTATAAATTATGACTCAATTTTTTTTTAACCAATTGAACGTGTGTTTAATTATCAAACTGGAACAAGAATATATGTGAACCCTTTTGGCAAAAAAATAAAAAAGGATCCCGCTATTTATAACGGATTCAATTCAATTACCCTCACTCCACATGTTAAGACGGGCCTTTCTTTGCACTCGTTTTCCTTTGGGCCAATGGTCACGTCCAAAAAGTTGTTGGGCGTGGACCAAATTAATGAAAACAAGGAGATCTGTGTTTTGGTTTTTTGGGCAAGAGCAGAGGAAAAGTTTATGTCTCTAACGTTTAACCTAATATGTACCAAAAAAAAAAAAAGACGGAACACTTAACCTAAGCGTGGTTTTTTTATATTTTTCTTAAAAAAAACTGGGCAAACCCAAAAAACATGCAAAGTCCAAAAGTAACAAAGGTCCACTAAAATGGTTATCACCAACACATACATCCTTGTAAAGGGTTAAATAGAGGTTTTCTTTCATTAAAATAGGAAGAGACCCAGCTAGGATCAAGTATTACATTCTACAGATATGTATCTGTCCCACACCAAGAGCGTCCTCTTGCGCCATCAAGTCTTCAGGAGGATGATCCTGTTAAATTGAGATTTTAACAATCCATATGACCTCCCCAGCTCATAAAGCCAGCTCATATTTTGATTCCAAGTAAGCAGCGGCAGATTCTATAATGCTTGATGAAAACAAATTCTCATCACCAACACTCACGGACTTCAGGAAATCAAAAGTAGTTTTAATTGATATAATATCCTTCACAATAGAGGAAGTATGGGCGTAAAAGCAAAAAATATGGTTCAATCAATAATTTTGTTGCGTAGTCAATAAATGAGCAAAATAGTACTGTTGCACACACCCGGTCTTCCTTGTTTGACTCGTGACATTACTGTTGAATAGCACCAAAATTAATAAAAACTAGATTTTGCAGTAAAGCGCAACCTAGGTCGTCTCTCTAAGAGTCAATAGAGTAACTATTTAAATTATAATTATGAAAAGCTAAAAAAATGGGGGGTTTTATAATGAAATTAAAAAAATCTAAATTAAAATTAGATAAATAAAGAAAATTCAATTGAGAAAATTATCAAGAACAAGTAGTGCAATCAATCACAATCCAATCACCTAAATTTAATCTTCCTCGCCTACAATTTAAATTAATTTTATTTACCTTTATTATTCTGATTTTATTATATATTTCTCAAATTATCATTCAAGAATTAAACAAGAGATTAAGTTATAGATTAATTGAGATCTCCTTTAACCCACAACCTAACAACTGTTCTATGTTAGCCATACCAGAAATAAAGCATGGATAATCACCAAAGCTAGGCCAAATTACTCTTATAATGCTATATCAATCAATTATAGCAAGTAAAACCTCAGATAAAATTTATAACTCAAAAATTATACAATAAAGCTACTCTAATTAATAATAGTAATTAAAGCATAACATTTAGAGGTAGGAAGAAGAAGAGGAAATTGAAATAAAGCTAGAATAAAATTTTCTCTAAATATTAAGGACTCTGATTAAAATTTAGGATCATGATTTATAATTGATCACACTAAAAAAAATTACTATCATAAAATTAAAAATCAAATAATATGAGATAAAAATAAGAGAGGCCATCGCCTGTATTGAAGGAAAAAAATTGAACTGCGATTGCTGTCCTTTCTTCTCTTCTCCGTCAAAAAAATCGTGATTTTTTCTCCTCCCGTGCGTGCGGCTTGCTTTATATACATGTATTGTGCTGTGTTCGTACGCCTCTTCCAACTTGAAACTTAATAATTTAATAAAAAAAAAAAAAACTACCTTAAATAACCCTAAATGAAAACTACACTAAAATACCCAAGATAAATATAAACAAAATTTTGAAGATTTAATTCTTGATTTGATCTCCAAGCATGCCCATATTCTTCTTATCCAAAATATTCTCTATCAATATCTTTCAAATTGAATCTAGAAAATCTGTACAAATAAAATAAAATTAAATAGCACCTGTGCAAAAATATTAAAGATATTATTTATATTTTAAAATCAAAGATTTAGTTAGTTAAAATCTCAAAACTGAATATTGGCTAAGAAAATTAAATAATATCTAATTAAACTCAATTAACCTCAAATAAATATTTAAAAATCTAAATTAAAAGAATAAAAATATATAAAATTATCATTTATCAACTCGACTTATACGCAATTTACACTGTAAATGAGAGTGGAACGGCTGAAAAAGAATGAATAAAAGAATTGAGGAGAGCTAGGCAAGGGGCAGCAGGCTCGCGGGGGAGAGGGGAGAGGGTTTCTTCACTTCCTTCTCCATTTCCTTTCACTTTTTAATCTTTATTATTCATTAATTTTATTATTTAAAAAAATTATTTAATAAAATAATTTAAACTATGGAATTGAGGGAGTGGAGGAAAAAAAGTGGAGAGACTCCACTCCCCGGAGAGACACGGACAGCAGATCTCGTGCGTGGAGTATTATGTGATATTAGAAAATTAAGATATAAAATAGGGGAATTATGTACCTTCCCGAGAGAAATTAACCAAAAAAAATTCCACGACTATAGAAACAAGAAACTGAAGAAAGGATCCTCATCAACACGTGCTTGAGGTCTTGAGCTCCGCCTCTCTCTCGTCTCATCTGTTGCTTATTCCACTCGGTCATTAGCTTTTATCAGCTGAGCTTCCAGTAACTTGCTCGATTCAGGCCCTGAGCTTGGGAGGCCAGCATTTTGAATCTCTCTGACTCTCGCTCTTTTCACTCACCGGAAACATGTCCGACGAACCAATGCCCACTCGATGGTCCTTCCAGGTCTTATTTTGTAAATTTCGATTGGAATTTGAATACACTTATAATCGCGCTGAATTCAGGATTTCAGACTCTTGTTAACTCTAAGCTTTGAACTGATTTTAGCTGAAACTTGATGAACAATTATTTACATGCATTCGAAGGAGAATTCATTTCTCTCTCTCTCTCTCTCTCTCTCTCTCTCTGTGTCTCTCTCAATATTTTTGCCAATTTTTTGGCTATGCAAATGTACGTGGCGTAGTATCGTTTCTTACTGGCATACAGGCTTCATTGAAAAATCATACGTTCGATTGTTTTCCTTTTTCCTTTTTGTTTTTTCTAGTTATGTTTCGATCGGCTTGTTGTAATTGCAAATCTTGATCTAGCGAATAGCATTATAATCTTGTTTCTGCTGTCTGTTGCATCTCTAGGATTTTAAATTGTTCTATGACGCCAAGTTTGGTAGGAAGAGAATCTTGGAGAATGGCAAGACTGATAATACCATCAGTAATGGAAATGGTAATCTACATCCCAGAAGGACATCGGATACGGCTATCTATGAGCAGTTTCAGAACCAAGTAATATGTCTGATATAATTTTTTTTCCTCTGGTAATTGGTCATTTACTTTTTTTAATTCACTAAAATGTGCTTTGTCTTACCTGAGCTTAATTCTTCTGTCTCAGGGGCAGAATTTAAACCACTCAAATGGTTTTTTGCCAAACAATGTTGGTGATAGGCCGTATGATTCCTTGACTTGATCCATTGGTTTATATTGCTGGGTTGTGTATTGCACTCATTTACGCTTTAAAATCAGTTCAGTTCTACTGTGAGGAATCATGTAAACTGCAAAGGGTGGGGAGAGGGGAGGAGAAAACCGGAAGGTGGGGCTGGGGTGAAGCAAACAGTATTAGCTAAATTAAATTGTGCATTATGTTATGATTGAGAATTGATTTGCTAGGCGTTAATTAGATCCATTATCTTTATTAGTTTCGATTTTTAGTTATTGACTTGTTAACAGTATGCTACAATATCTTACGTAACTGTTAGATGCTAACAGTGTCAAGTACAATCCTTGCTTATGAAAACTATTATTTTTTGGGCCTGGTGTGCTCTTCATGTGCTATCTTTGCATCGTCTCTTCATAAAAAACTAAATCATTTGTGCCCTAGTTACTATTGGAACCTTGGGCTCAATTATTTAAAGCTTGATCGCACTTTTATATATGATAATTTTGTGAAAGAGGAAGATACATTTCAACCTACTTGTTTCTATCCTAATCTATGATTGTTGCCTGCTTTACGACGTTAATGTTATGTTTTAACTATTAAACAACAATGCTGTTTAATTTAGCATGTTAGTAGTAATTTACTGTAATATTATTTGTCACTTGTTTCATGAACAAAAAGATTATCATTAGTGGGATGTGACTGAAATTCTTGATCTCTAAACGGGTCAAAGCAGGTGCAGAGAGGGATTGCGTTAATGAAGTTTCTTTCTTTCTTTTTTCTTTTTTGGCTGCCATTTGTGAGTTTGCTGAAGTTTATGAACACACTGCATGGTTGAGTTTCCCCCTATGAATTGAAAAATAAAAAAATAAAAAAATCCACAGCTTGCAAACAATGTATCCTTTAACCTAGTAATTGCTAAGATTGATCCTATGATCTCTTCTCACAACTGTAAACAGTGGTAGTATCTTATGTTCTTGAAATTAATTGTCATTCTTTGATAATATTAATTATTTCCATTGATATTTTCAGTCAGAAGTCTTTGCTTCCGCCTCTTGAATCAGCAGAAATGCGTACTTTAGCAGAGAGCTTAAGTAGGTAATTATCCTTATCTCTCTTGCTCAACACAGATGTCATTCCTGGATAAATTACGTTATGTGATATGCTGATCATGGTTTTCATGATTTATTTCATCTTATAATTTCCATTTTTCACATATGCATATCATTAAAACATCACTTTTGCAGGGATATTATTCGTGGGAGTCCAGATGTGAAGTGGGAAAGCATAAAGGGGCTAGAAACGGCCAAACGCTTACTTAAAGAGGCTGTTGTAATGCCAATCAAGTATCCCAAGTAAGTATTGATAGGCCAGTGTAGTTACGGATCGCCCTTTTCTCTCACCTCTTGTTGACAATTTTTTTTTTTTAAAGTTATGCGATCATTTTGTTGCATTTTGTACATTATCTACATTTTTTTTCTGAAGATGACAACAATTATACTGCAAACATTAAGATTGATTTCTGTGTAAGCAACATATTATGTGTAGTTTCCTTATGTGTTAACCACCACCATTTCCAGGTCAAAAAAACCATTCTTTCAGCTAGAATTTGTTATAATTTCTGAAACTAGCTGGCCATAATCTTTGTGATTAAACTGTCAAAAATTGTAAAGCATACCATAACCATGTCATTAGTTGTCCGGCAATTATATAGTTTCTACAGCATTACATTGCAGTATGATCGGTCCCTGGACAATTAATTGTAATGGCTTCAATGTAGACTAGTTTTCTCGAAAATGACAGAGCACAAACACTGGTGGAACTGCAATTTTTTTTTTTTTTCGTTTTAAATTTTCTGTTTCCAAATTTTCTAAGATCTTTTTTAGGGGAGCACCTATATGCATCAATAATGATGCTAAAAATGGCTGAATTAGTAAATTGTCCTCAGAAACACTTTGTTGATTGATTTGTTAAACCTCAATATTTAATGGAAGAACAAGTTTTCTGATGATACAGGATGTAAATTCCTTTCCCGTACTCAAGTTGATCTTTCTTCCTTTTGTAGATACTTTACTGGTCTATTATCACCTTGGAAAGGTATTCTTCTCTTTGGGCCACCAGGAACAGGAAAGGTATATGTAACAATCTCTCAAAAATTGTTGTACCTTTGCCTACTCTGTGTTTGGCTAAACTGTTGTGTGGGTGTGAACATGAGTGCTTATTACTTATATAATCATAATTTCCTGTTTAATTGTTGCAGACAATGCTTGCAAAAGCAGTCGCAACAGAGTGCAAGACTACATTTTTTAATATTTCTGCATCCTCCGTTGTCAGCAAATGGAGAGGCATGTTACCTTTCTTTTTTCTTTCTTTCTGTTTTTTTTTGTCCTTTTTTGAAAGCTTGTTTATGTCTTACACACATGCACAAAATCTAGGTGATGTTAAATTTTATGGATTGCTTTTGAGGTCTAGTTTGTTTGGATGGTTTACTTGATGAACCTTCATCCTCTGGTTTTCCTTAACAAGATACTTGCCCACAAATGAAACACTAATTAAGGCATATGAACTCAGATGTAAAAATTCATTTCTGGTGTGCTTTTAGAAAATATATTGCATCTTATCAGATTTTGACATGAAGGTAATATTATATAGTTGAAAAATCTAAGTTAACACAATCCACAACAGCAGCAGCAATATGCCCTGTCCCATTAGGTAAGGCCATCTTATGAATTGCATGGTTCCATTATACTTTATCAACAACCAAACCTTTAAATATATTGTTAACCAAAAAGTCTCATTCAACAACTTTCCCAAGTGCTCTCTTTGGACTTTGGTCTTCCTCTTCCCCTTTTCATAGAGCTCAAAACTATCCATTCCATTTTTCTCACTGATGCCTCCCACTGCCTTCTCTATACATGTCCTTGTGTTAGGAAAATGAAATATTCGCTATGGGGAGCAGTCACGAATCCTTGTAAAATTGGATTATGCATTTCATATCACTGATTAAGTGATGAAACCTGATTTGAAATTCATTGTTTCCTATCTACTTTGTGTGTGCGCGCGCGCGCGTGTGCGTGTATGTTTTGACAAATTATCTCACATCTGGCTTGAAAAAAGATGGATGGTAAAATGTTTCTTCTTCTATATTCTGTTATAGTTTATTGCATTTACAAAGGTTACCTTATATTGCAGGTGATTCAGAGAAGCTAGTTAGGGTACTATTTGAGCTTGCTAGGCACCATGCACCCTCAACAATATTTCTTGATGAGATTGATGCAATCATTAGTCAGCGTGGTGAGTCGCGCAGTGAGCATGAAGCAAGTAGACGGTTAAAAACTGAGCTACTCATACAGGTGATGCTTGGTTCTCTCACAGAACATTAATTTATCATCATGCAGTTTAAATACAATAACAGGAATATTTTGTTTATTTACCCTGCGCAAATTAAAAAAATATAGACACCAATCACCATAAAACCAAGCAATTGAGAGCAAATGAGATTATCATTTTATAACTTTTTCCTGTGATTGCTAGGCTTCAGCCTGATGATGCTTTGAACACCTACACAAACACATGTACACTAAAGAACGAAATTACTTTGGAATGAAGCTCAGAAGTCATAGGTGTAGATTTGAAAATGTATTCCTAATCAGTTATCTGCTCTTTTTGGATGATTAGAAGCATGTGGCCTTTTCTTGTTATTAGAAGATTTGCTTTGATCGTTCAAGAGACTTTCAGCACCACCAAAGTTTTGTTGATTGCTTCCTAATACTGCATACTCTTATATTGGTTTCCTTTGCACCATGCAGGAAGATTGTTAATATCTATGTGAAAATTCTGTAAAAAATGTCAAACCAGAATGAAAAAGAAGAATAGAAATTAAACCAGAGACCTTTGGTCTTTTTTATCTGGATATATTATGAAAATGTTACTTTTGTGGCTCTACCTTAATAATCCATGCATGAATTTGTTACCATGAAACATTAATTATGATTGACATGTAAGATATACTCAGTTTTTCCTTGGGAATTTGGGCCCTCAAAAAATTGTCTCAACACATCTCAATATGCAATTATTTATTATGAAAAGTGCCATATTAGTTTTCTCAAAATTAATCATTTGGGTTAGATTGCAGATGGATGGCTTGACACGGACTAATGAACTTGTTTTTGTTTTGGCGGCGACAAATATTCCTTGGGAATTGGATGCAGCCATGCTCCGACGTTTTGAGAAGCGAGTATCCTTTCAATGTAATTATTCATGCTTCATCTTACATCAATTCCTCTAAATGAGAATTGGTCTTGGGGAAGAAATATCAATGAAATGTTACTGTCAGGGCTATCTCATCCCAAAGCTTAAGTTATTATGGGAATCTTGAATAATTTATTAATATACCTTGCATGCTCCCTCGTGCTGTCTTGTGAAAGTCCTTTGGGCTTGAAGAATGGATAAACAGAGGCCCACCAGACTGCATGATGCCAAATAAGCAATCTGAACTTGCAAATGCAGCTTTAATGATTTGATTCTTGAAGTGTTGTACATTGACCTGGACAAAGGGCATGACATTGCATGGAAGCAGCAATTAGGAAACATGTGTAGTGTCTTCAATGAATTTGAAGTGTTGTAAAGTATCAATTCTAGAAGTGTTGTCCCTTGACATGGACAGAGGGCATGGAAGCAGCAGTTAGGAAACATTTGTAGTGTTGCAAAGTATGATGGGGTGTCTAATCCATGTCGAGCACAGACACAACTCTATTTTTATTTTTTTGTGCTTCGTAGATTCTAATCCAGTGGTTGCCGCTTAACCATGGTCAAAAGATCCTTGTGCCACTTCCAGGACCAGAAGCAAGAAAAGCAATGTTCAAGGAACACCTTCCACCACAGCATGGCGAGGAGCAGATCCCCTATGCTTTACTGGCGGAGCAGACAGAAGGATATTCAGGTTCAGATATCCGGTTACTCTGCAAAGAGGCAGCAATGCAGCCATTGAGACGCTTAATGTCACAGCTTGAACAGAGAGAAGAGGTAGTACAGGAAGAAGGTATGAGGTTTACTGCATTTGTTGCAATGCAGTTACTTTTGAAGATATCTCCACACAGAAATGCTGATACTTAAGCCAATTTTGGTGTACTTTTCAACGTGGAAAAGTGAGAATATGTCATGCAAATTGAGAAACTTCAATTTGTGCAATGTTTATTATACCCAATGTTCATGACAAAAATTCACATGTCAACTCTTAATAACTATAAATGTCATTCGTTTGGAAGTTCGATTTATCTGACTAAAGAACTAGAGTATCACATGGTGATACGGAAAACTTTACACGTATGACCATTACATGGTTTACATGTTGATCTCAAATGACATTCGTTGAGTAGGTTGACAACTCCGGAGGTTCTTGAGCAATACAGGGCACTGGAAAGTTGGAAATTGGATCATTAACTCCAATCCCTTTTTTAAGTTTATTTTTGCATAGTGGAGTCTTCTATGAAGCTCACAGTCATAATTAATAACTAAGTGCTACCGTGATTATCTTTTCTGTCCTTCCGTGAAATAATGCAGTGTTCTTCTTAAACAATGTTTTCCTAGGAGTTATGCTGGGAGCAATAGTGATAACTAATGGTTTCACAAGTTACCACATATTCTTTCAAAAGTTGTATTATGTTTTCTTTCAGTTACAAATTGTCATTAATCTTTGGTTTGCTAAAATTACAACTACAGCTTCTCTAAGTTTAAATATTTGCCATTTATGCTTCCTGAAGTGTCACTCATATTTGCTGTGGTTACCGTGTTCTAGTTTTGTTGCTACCACTTATGAACAGTCATGCACCTGAATTTATCACTCTTGTATTCCAATTGCTCGCTCAGTTGGTTAGAATGGGAGACTGAGTAAGATTTGAAGTATTTTGGACCAAGGGAGGATTTTTTATTTCTAAAGTTCTTGGCTATCAGTATTACAAGTTAAGGGTATTTAAGTGTCACTTTATTGACAAAAAAAAGTGTCGTTTCACTTTAATTTCTCATTTTGAAAAATTCTCATTGGAGGAGGTGTTCCTTATTTTACTCAGTGCTTTTAGGTTATTTTTACTCATCATGAACTATCCGTTATTGTTGGCTTGCAGAGTTGCCTAAAGTCGGGCCTATAGGATCTAAAGATATAGAGATTGCTTTGAAGAACACAAGGCCGTCTGCTCATCTCCATGCCCACAAATATGAGAAGTTCAATTCTGATTATGGAAGTCACATACTGCAATGAAAAGATGCAGTCTTACCTAGCTTGGAATTTGTAATTTTAAGTTCAATTAGATTGTCATAGAATTGTTATTGCACAATTAGGATACTATAACATTCTGGGGAGCCTTTCTAGGTTACGGTTTTCATACATGGAGATGCTATAATTGCCGTGTCATGTCTGTAAGCACACTGACGCCCAAGATTGTCATTGAGAGTTGAAGTTGCTACTTTGGTCTTTTGTTATAGGATGGTGAATAAAACGTAAAAACCACAGAACAATGTTAAGTTTCATGCTGATTGCTGCAAGTTAGTTTCTATTATTACAATTAGGCTAATTGGTGTTGCAGCGGTTGAATGACTAACATAACAATTCCTATATTATGGTCCAAATTTTTAATGGAAGTGACGGCTGCGACATTAGCCATAAGAATTTCCGTGCGTACTAACGAACAAGGTTGTTCTTGGGAAAATTTACAGCTAAAAAGTAGGTTACCGTCTAAGTAAAATCTCATTTTCTATTTTCGTTTGTTTCCTCATACATACTAAAGATGTAATACGGTTATATTCATTCAAGCATTTTACAAGAATTGTATGGAGTGTATAAATTCCGCAGATTGAGAAAACGACTGAGCACAGAACTGAAACATATGCAAGATTAAAGGTTGATGAAACCTATTTGGCAAAACTAAACCCTACACATATCCATCCACATGGACTCAAGTGCACCCTCCAAAATTCACTCCAGCACTACTTGCTGTAACATTTGAGAACTCAATATGTATGCCTCCTTCAAAGTAATCTACTATATTGCAAGTTGTTCAATCATGTAAGTAGCTCATAGAAGTGAGTAGCCAACTGAATCATGTCGTATGACACGATCTTCATAGGCACAATGGATGTACATAGCATAAAATGTCGCGGGCAAAAAGGTGGGGGGCACTTCAGTGAAAAACAAGGGCTAGTAACAAAAGGAAGTCAAATGAAGTCATTATTTGCCAACATCACAAAATGTGGAAGTTTTTGCCTTCTGATTCACATACCAATTAATAACAAGCTTCTGAAGATATGGAAGCCCTGAGAGGGAAATTAGCGTTTTACAAGGGAGAAAATCACAGATCTTGAGGATAAAAGGTGTAACCAAATTGATTGACCACAACTCCAAAACTCCAGGTTGATTGACAGATGAAAGGAAACACTTCCTTCAATAACGTCAAGACTCTTGATGGGTTTTGAAGGCTCATTTAATTTTGTTACTCCAGGGGCCTTGGCAAATTAGTGTCCATTTATATGTGAAATCCGACAAATTTTTACGTTTGGCTGTCAAAAGCCTAACACAGCACTCCTTCTTTATCTGGGCTTGGGACCAGCTGTCAAGGGCCTAACACAAACTACTGTGATTCGACAAAATTGAGTGATCAGAAAAATATTTTCAAACCAGCAAAAAGATGGCACCAAATTGACAGTAAGTTGGCAAATCATTGAACTGATATCTACCATGGCTTTGCCTAAATGGATCAAATCTCGCCCGACTTTCAGACTCAGACATGTCATTAAGGGTCCTGTTGCACCACAGAGCCACCACCTGGTGAGACAAAAATTGTAGATGGAAGTATGGCAGTCTCACTCCTGATTATATACTTCAATTATGCTGAGCCCAGCCTCTTTAACCATCTTTTCTCTCTTCATTTCAACTGTCCCACGTTTTTCCAGAACAATATCTGCTTCCTTCATTCCTTCAGTTCTCGGAAGGTCTGAAAGTCTTCCAGTGACAGCATAAGTGCTAGATATGAGAAGGGAATCTGCAGGATGCTCTTTATACATTTTTCTTAACATTTCTTTCACACATTCTCCCAATTTAATATTCCCATAAACTCGACAAGCTGCAAGCAGTGTACGCCAAGCAGTAGCATCACTCTTAATGGGCAAGCTCTTAATCAGTTTATGTGCTTCCTCTAGCATTCCTGCTCGACCTAAGAGATCAATGAGGCATCCATAGTGTTCAACCTGAGGTAAAAAACCATATTCTCTAACCATCCTTTCAAAAATTGCTGTGCCTTCCATCACAAGGCCTCCATGACTGCAAGAGCTCAAAACTGCTAGAAAAGTGACTTCATTTGGTCTAAACCCTTCCTTCTCCATCCTATTGAAAAGCCTAATGACATTAGTTGGCTGCCCATGAACCCCATAACCTGTTATCATGGCTGTCCAAGACTTTACATCTTTACTTTCCATTCTCTCAAAAATGTCCAAAGCTTTATTTAGAAAACCACATTTAGCATACATGTCAACAAGAGCAGTTCCGAGAACTGGATCCAATTTTAGTCTCTCCTCTTCCATGTAACTAGAAACATACTGTCCTACTTGGATAGCTCCAGATGCAGGGCAAGCTGAAAGCAAACCTGATAAGGTAGATGAATTAGGTTTGACTCCTTGGAGTCGCATCTGCTGCATCAAAGACAGTGCTTCTTCTACTAGACCAATTCTCCCATAGTTACCTATTAAACAGTTCCACAAGACAACATCCCTTTTAACAAGTCCATCAAAAATTTTACGTGCCTGGTAGATATGCCCTGTTTTTGCATAAATATCAATCAAAGAAGTAAGCACATTCAAATCAGAGCCAAAGCCTATTCGGAGACAATGCCCATGCAGCGATTTTCCTAAAACAACACTTGCTATGTTGCCAAAAGCAGTTGAAAGACACAAGATAGTGGCAACACTGGCTTTAAGCCCAACACAACACATTTTTCTAAACAAATCCAAAACTATAGTAGGCTTAAAAACAAGAACATAGCCACCCATTAAAGTGTTCCAAGAAACCAAGTCGTTTTTTGCTGGAAATTCATCAAACAGTTTATGACCATCTTCAATTCTTTTGCAAACACAATAAAAATGCAAGAGGCTATTCTTCACATCAATAAACATCATATGCCCAGACTTCAATGCAATTCCATGGATCCCTTGGCCAATCCCAGTCTCTAATGCTCGACCACAAGCTTTGAGTGTTGTAATAAAAGAGAATTCATCCAGGACAATTCCTCGAGCCCTCAAATTGTTGAACAACATAAAAGTTTGTTTTGGGTAATCGCTAAAAGAATAGCCTCTAAGCATTGTATTGAACATGTAAAGATTTGGATTTTGTATATAACTGAAAATGGATGCCGCATGCTCTATGTCACGGATGGAAGCTGCTAGGAGCTTGCCCAAATTGAAAGGAAAGCTATCGAGACCAGTCTTAACCATGTAGCCATGGATTTGATTGGTTTCAGAAGACATTTTGCATGATTTTAATAGAGAAATGAGCTCCTGATCTAATGCAAGAATAGAATAGGACTTCACATTGAGATTTCTGGGATATAATCCAAAATTATACCTCAGCCAAAAGGCATTACCCAAAGTCATGAGCAAGCCACTAAAGGTTTAAGGCGAAAATATCAATATGTAAGTCGAGAAACACTAATGGCCTGTTTTTTTAGGAGTGAACTGAGCCCAGAGAGGTGGAGGTGCAATGGAACCCCGAATTTCGTGCGTTTGGTAGGCCTGAATTGGCTTGTCAGTGTAAGTCACTCCCAAAAAAAAAAAATGATGGAACATGGCTCCACACCTAATCCCCTGGAACCCAGTTCCACTTCCATCAAAGTCTCAAGTCTGACCATTTTGCCCCATCATTATCTCTCCTTGTTACTGAGACTGAGGAGTGAGGACGATGAATAGGACTATGGCAGCGAAGATGATTACTCCGGCGAGGACGATGATGAACGACGATGATCCGGTAAGAACAACGGCGGACGGCAAAAGCTTTTTCCTCACTGCAACACTCTACAATCCCTCAAATCTCGTTTACCCACAACCAGCAAGCAAGATACCTCGTCACTATTTCTTCTTCCTCTATTCCTTCCTTTGAACTGTTGAATCTTGCTCTGCACCTCACCCTTTTCTTGATTTGCTGATTTCTAACTTCTTCTTCGTTTTAATTTCTTGGTCTCTCCGCACAGAATCGGCCATGGAAGGAGCTGGGATTTGGGAATGAAACCCTCTTTGTCTAGCTTGACTTTGACTTCGACTTCGTCATCTTCTTCATCCAGGAGATCCCTCCTCTCCGCCGCATCTGAATCACGACGGTGATTTCTATGGTTGCAGTGGCTGGTTTTTGTCTGGATGAAGACGGTTACTGTGGTGGCTGAGATTGTTTTCGGTGGGGGCAGGGTTTTTCAGGCAAGGGTATACAGGTCAATTCACATAATAAAAAGATATATTAATAAAAATTTCAAATTATACTTTTTTAATTTTTTTTATAAGTTATTTTTATGAATCCCATTACTACTGATATAAAAAAAATATAAAAATAAAAGGGTGTAGAATTTTAAATATATTCATATATAATGATTAAAAAAATAATATCATGTTATTTTTTTTTTATAAAGGGTAATTTTAAAAATATATTTTAAATATTACTTAAAAAGTTATGTCATAACTTATAAATGAAACCAAATGAATCTTTTAAAATGTGACTTATAAATGAGACAGGAGGGAGTATTATACTTACAGTATTTGAGGAGAATTTTAAATAAAGACTAGAGATGTGACTTAATTACTAGTAGGCTTAATTTTTTTTAAATGTCAGTTCATTTTAAGAAATAAAAGTAAAAATAATTTTAAATGTAAAAAAATTAAAGTATCATTTGCTTGTTATGTAAAATTATTAGTTGTTAATTTTTTTACTTTACTTATTAATTTATTAATATCACTTATAAATTACATTTGTTTGTCAGATAAAGAATAACATTAGGTGTTAATTTACTAACTCTACTTATCCATTTACTAACATCAATTATAAATTACAAGACCTATCATTAATTTACAATTGATATTAGTAAATTAACAAGTAAAGTTAGTAATTTAACAAAAGATGTTATTGCTTATGATTAAACAACTGATATCAAGTCTTATATAATTATTAATATATCAACTCATGTAATTTGAAACTTTTATTAGTAAATTAACATGTGAAGTAAGAAAATTAACAACTAATGATTCTGTATAACAAGTGAAGGATCTATCGATCTTTTTACATTTAGAATTATTTTTATTTTTATTTTTATCTCCCTATACTGAACTAAAATTTCTAAATTTTTTTTTGATATCTACTAATAATTATGTCATATCCCTGATTCTTATTTAAAATTTCCCTTAGTATTTAAATTCTTTGAAATTGGGGTTGATAAATTTTCATAAAGTTTTCCCTTTTTAGTATTTTCTCACATTTATTATTTTTTTGTAAAATATGAAATCTTCTCTTGCTTTTTTAAGAAGGAAAACTTTATATGAATTTATCAATCTCAATTTTAAATGATTTAAATCCATACCAAGCATACTTTTATACTCTATTTAAATGTGAATAAAGGTTAAGAGAAAAAATAAAAAAAATTAAAGAGATAATATTATCACTCATTTTATTCGGATGAATAAAAGCACACATGAAGGAAAGAAAATAAGCAAATTATATAATGATAGTAGTACATTTGTATTAAAATATATTACTTTCTCTATTTAAAAATATAAGGTATTTTTAACTGAATCTCACTTTCTAATAAAGTAATTACCTACTTTCAAATTAATCCTATATTTTTATATCTATCCCTATTAAATGCTTTACAATAAATATGAAGTCATTATTAATAGGAGCACCTTTGAAAAAAAGGCAATGATTTTATCTCGAAAGAGTAAAAATGCCTCACATTTTGAAATATCCAACTTCTCAAAAAATACCTTATATTTTTGAATGGAGGGAGTATGTCTTAGGTTATTGTGTTTATCAAAATAAATTGAAGGCAAAATTAATAAGAACATCTTGATATTTTAACATCAACTAATTTGAAAAAGTATATATATATATATATATATATAAGTAGAATTGCGAGCATCATCCACAGCTTCACACATAAGTAGATTTTGTAATGCTACAATTCTAAACTATCCACATCAGCATTGATTTTTAAAATATTTTTAAAAAATAATAAGCATGATCTCTAATTATTAAGATAACTTCTTCTCATCCCTTTTTTTTTTCTCTTATTATCTTAACTCTTATTTTTAATTTGTTCCTAAATTTTCTCTCTCATAATCATATCCATTACTATATTGACTTTTAAAATATTTTTAAAAAATAATAAGTATGATAATTTAAAATGTCAAGATAACTTCTCATCCCTTATTTTCCCTCTTATTATCTTATTCTTTTTTTAATTTATTCCTAAATTTTCTCTCCCATAATCCCATCTATTATCATATGATAACTTATCTCAACTAAAAATTTAATAAAACATAGCTTCCCTCAACTTAAAGATTAATAAAATGTCTTCAATATCTCAACTATCCCAATCTACTTTCCAAAATTTCTCTACCAATTTAGGATTAATTATCTTTTCAGTGTAAATATTTTTTTAAAAAAATTATCACAAGCATATATGAAATAATTTAGAAGTTTGAGATTTTAAATTAATTTAAAAATTTTAAAATTGAGCATTGACAACTTCCCTAAAATATATTTATTAATTGTTTATGTGAATCTACAATCTGATTATTAATTATAAATTAATTTTTTATTCTCACAACTTTTATCGTGTCATAACTTTTCTCATGATTTGATATCATAGCATTTAGTTCTCCCTTTAGCTCCAAGCATACATTCCTCCATTAGATTTGCAAGTGCACATAGGCTTTTTGAATTTCATCCTCATTTGACATCAAGAATATGTTATCAACCGCCATTAATGTCACGCCTCAAAAATTAGACACGACTGGCACGGGATATATATACAAATATATATCCCTTAAGCCTTGATCAAGGAAACTTTAATATAGTATTTTAATTTATTTGAAATATGATGGAAGATAATTGTGACATTTTAATATAAACAAAAGATTCATAAACTTTTGAAAAAATTTCACTAGAATCTCCCCTCTAAATAAGACCTCTCAAAGTTCTACAATAAAATATACAGTCCAAATCAAAAATGCGAAGCTCTGCTCTTTCACAATAAATAGACAAATATATTGCAAATCAAAATTTATCTATAGTTAACATGGGGCATACCTAATTACAATTTCAAAAGATAACAATTAATTAACCATTTACAACACAAGAAAGATATACTCAAAAGGTATTCTCCTCAATTTAACAAGGAATCCCTCATAAATTAGCAAAACGGTAGATCATCAATTATATTATCTGAGACAAAAATTTATTTTCAGTGAATAACGTCCCAACAATAAATAATTTAACATAAATAAAAGGAAAAATTAAAACAATTATGCAAGTTAAAAAGACAATGATTTTCATACAAGTTTAATAAATTTTGGAAAAAAAATTTCTATATAGCTTTAAACAAAATTTTGAATCGTTTAGTTTTCATATCAAATGTTACTATCACTTGCTTTCAAAGAAGCAAATAAATAAAAATAAATAAATATTAAATAAATTACTAATTAAAACCAATCAGATATAAAATCACCAAGTAACCAAATTCATATTTATAGAGACTTATCAGAACAATTTACAAACGTGGACACACAGTCCATAAGGATAAGTAACCGAACGTGGGTTATGCCACGAAAACAAACGTGGACAAGAGGGTAAGTAACCAAATGTAGCTTAAGCTACGAAACAAACGTGAGTACGATGCTCATGAATAATTATCCCTCTGTTCCATGTGCGTTAGCCATCACACGGGACTAGCACCTCCTATGAACACCCTACTAGCTAGGTATACCATGGTGTGCCAAGGGCTAACGGAACTGCCGTTAGCAACCAGTGTTCTATATAAAATTCCTTTCTAAAACTATTTTCAAACATGCAAGAAAATTATCACTTTCAAGATACAGTTCTCATTCTCAAAATCAAACTCACATGAACTGTTTAAAATATCAATCCTTTAAAATATGAAAATTCACAACTAACATTCCATAAACTTCTTCACCTATTTCCATGATTGTCTTTATTGAATAGAAGAGTACTAGAATTTATAAAAGCATTTCTGCCAATCTTATAAGTATAAATCATGATAACTTCAAGAGCTAAAGAAATTTAATCAACAACATTAATCAATGTCAGAGTGGCATATATTAATGACTGTAAAATTAAAAATAATAATTGATAAAAGGAAATTTTCAAATATATAAATTGATTGGGATGTTATTTACTTACTGTAAAGTTGTTAATATTTAAAATTCTCTCCTTACAACCTCAGTCAAGTCTCTTTTCTTTCAAACATCATATAAAAATATAAAAATATATAAAAATAATAAAGTTTAAATAACTTTCCATAAGTTCAATGAATCCTCTTTCAACATTAACACAACCAATATTTAATCCAAGTAATTCAATGTTCCCAACATCATCATTTATGTCACAGAACTTTCCATAGCTAATTATCAATTAAAAGTGTGTGTTAGACCTCTAGCAAAAGCTTTATTAGTCCACCATTCATGTGTTGCTCACTTTATTGAATAACTCAGATATATTCCCAATTTAGGTTGTAAAACAATACTCTAGTTTATATTCATCACCTATAATGAACTTCATCATCCTTCATTCACTTATTTTTGTCTAACACTTTAAATTCATTCTCAGCATTCTCAAGACCAAATGATAAAACAATACCATAGTTATAGATTACCTAACATGAAACTTCCAAAAATTCAACTAACCATATAATACCTTAAAATCAACTTCTTAATAATGTTCAAGTTAAATCTCAACTAAATAGAATTTGAATCAGTCATGCTTCTCACCTTAATTAACAAGATTCAACAAAATGCATAATCAAGCAAAATTCTCCTAATAGGCATTTCACCGAACACCTTAAGAGCATTAATCCGTAAGCTAATATCAAACCTCTTCACATTCACTTCCATTTCCAAAAATTCTCTTAACATCAATATTTAAATAAATCAGCCTCCTAAGTTTTTTTTTTCTGATTAATCATAACTCAAGGAAATTAAATCTCCATCTCCCCCATTCCTCACGGCAGTAAGAAAAGGAAGTAACAGATTAAAATTTTTCATTATTTAAACACACTCACACAAAATGAACAAGGATCAGGGAGAGAAAGATTGGGCGCACTTGAAGTAAACATAAACAAAAAAACGGTGATGATGGCACAGGGGAAGAGGCAACCACCATTAAAA